GATGGGAATTTTCGATCCTATACGATCATTTTCTACCTATAACATAACATGAGATGTTTGGAAAACACAATACACAAAACAATTTTCAATTTACACACAAATACATTTACATCATGAGGGTGTGGGTGTTTTTGTTCTCTTTATCCGCACCCACACCCACTCCCACACCCACACCCCACACCCACACCCACACCCACACCCACACCCACCCACACCAACACCCACACCCTCACATCCACACCCTCACATCCACACCCTCTTTCAGCTTAATCTATATTAAGTATTATTTGATATACTAGATATGTATTTTATTCAACAATTCGACGTCCAGGAAAGATCTATTGTATGTTATCTGATGGAACAAATTCTAATATAATTGTTCCAAATAAATTGGGTACATCATATCATTTAACATCTGATTATTGAAGAAAACGTCTTTATTAGACTGATGGTACACTTTCTCGTATTCAATATTTGAATTATAATGAAAGATATATTCAATCATTACGAGGTCGATCAATTTAACATCCATTTGAAATTTCAATTTATGGATCTAAGAAAACTAATTAATTAAAAGATAAATTTTGATTTAATATCTCTTCTAGTTCGTCTTTATTTCACTGATGTACTATTAGGAAGTGTATTCTTCAAGTAGTGAAACATATAGATAAAAGAAATATTCGAATTAATTTTAATTTATATATAGTGTATATTCGATCAAATATTCCATTGATTACAATAATTCGAGTTTTTGCAGAATCATCTCAACCACTTTATAGGAAATATAAATAATGAAATTTCTATTATTGTTTATTTTAGTTACACATCCATGTCGAACAAATAATGGAGAACGAGAAAGACTTTTGTTTTCCAAAAGGTGAACAAAGTGTTTTAACACGAATATATGCTTGTCTTTATGATCGAAAAATAAATCTAATAAATAATGAGAATTCTCAAATAGAAGCAAATCAATGATCATGTAATGGACATTTTCAATGTCGAGATGGTCGATGTATACTATTAAGTTATAAATGTGATGGCGGTTAATCATTGAAATAAAAAGATTTTTTTGTTTTTATTTTTAATTAGATGATGATTGTCATTAAAATAGTGATGAAGAAAATTGTTCAGGTAAAGAAGATAGTGTTCGTTTTTTTATTTATCTGTTCACACCAACATGTTTTCACAAAAGAATTTCAATTTTGAAAGACTGATGTTTGAATAAATAAATAATTTGGTTGCGATAGTTATGCACATTGTCAAGATCGTTCAGATGAATCTAATTCCAGTAAGATGAATAAATTGATTATAAAAAGAAATAATAATTTTTTTAAAAGTCAAAATTGTTCAGAAAATCAATTTCGTTGCAAAAGAGAAAAAGTCTATTTCTAAATGATGAATAAAGGAATTATTTTTGCGTTTTTTGTTAAGATAAATTATTGACGAAATGAACAGAATTGTCACGGTAATAGACAAATTTCAAATTTTACTAAATAAAAAAATTTTGATTTTTCTTTTCGAAAGAGTATATCATCCATTAACACTATTTCCTTGTCCTCATACATCTGAAAGAAGTATTACGAATGGAATGTTGAATAATTGAGAATTTATGGTGTTCAGTTTATGTGTATGCTTCCGCTCTGAGACAGATGACTCGTCCTACTGAGCATATTTGTGTGTGTGTGTGAACTAAAGTTTGTTTTATTGCTATTTTGTTTAGCATGGAAATGTGATGGTGAAAATGCTAAGTATTCTTTTATTAGATTGTGATGATAATGCGGATGGTTAGTTAATGAAAACATTTGTTTGTAAAGAATAAATTTTTGTAGAACTTAATTGTCCATCAATACGATGTGGTAATGGACAATTTTGATGTTCACATGATTGTCGTATTAATTCCACATGACGATGTGATGGAATTGCCGATAGATGAATTTTTCATTGAATAATTTCAATTCAATAATTAATGTATTTAGATTGTTCATCGATGGATGATGAACAATATTGTGTTCGTACAGTTCCATCATATTGGAAGAGTAGATCAATGCAAGTTGTGAATCAACTTGTATATCAAATGTCAGTGAAATAATAGAATGAAAATAATTATTCCAAATCGACTTGGCCTTGTGATAGTCATTTAGGTTAAATAAATATTTTAACAAGAAATTTTATTTAGATAATTGTCTTGTAAATTGTGCAGATGAATCTGATGAATCACTAAGAGATGGATAGTATCTTTTTGATGAATAGAAAATATGAAATAATATGGATTTTTTAAGTGTACGAAATTGTAAATCGAGAGGGTTTCGTTGCGTAACATCGAATAATTGTATATGAGAAGCATGAGTGTGCGATCATCAAATAAGATTTAATTCTTTTCAAAAAAAGATTTCAATAGTTCATTATGTTAAGGATACTTATGAAGATGGTTCGGATGAACATGCAGAACGACGTCGTAAGAATTAATTCAATTATCAATAAATTTATTTCGAATGTCAATATATATATATATATAGAAATCTTCTCGTTTACATGTTCAGAAAATCAAACAGCATGTCCTCATACAACAATTCATCAATGTATGAATATTACACAATTTTGTGATAAATAAATATTTAATATTCGACTGAATATTTTGATAAATAATTTGTTTTTCTAAAGTAAATCTGATTGTTCAGGTGGCGATGATAAATCTCCATCATTAGATAATAACCAATGTTCTATTAATAATGGTGATTATATCCATCACCATATAATGTTTTATGTTTGTGTCGACATGGTTTTTATGTAAAAAATAGTTCTAACTTAAAAAAATGTTTTCGATATGAATTTCTAAATCTGAAGTAATCATTTAATGTAAATATTTAACTAATTGAATATTAATAAATGTGAAGAAGATTCTAATATATGTCATCAAAATTGTTTAAATACAAATGCAAGACTTATATGTGTATGTGATGAAGAATTTCTATTAGAAGTAGATGAACGAAGTTGTAAAATGATCAGTAAGTTCGAAACGAAGACATAATTGATAAGATCTTCAAATATTGTTTGAGAATGAACAGATAGACACCAATAGAATTTGTACGATTATTTATTAATGAATTTCCATCAGTTACATATGTACAGAATCTCAAAGTCTAGCATTTGTAAGCATGTACTACTGTCAACCCTACATGTATTCGTTTGGAATTTAAAAGAGTGAGGATTAGGGTAAGATAAAACGAGACTTCAGTACTCCGAAGTACAAGTGAAGTACAATAGTTGAATCGTATCTCGAATTACTAAAGTCTTGCATTCTTCCTCGTAGAATGCATCATCTGACGGAGAGTGGAGGTGGACACACAACTGATTAGTGAAGTAATCATCATGTACAGTAGACACTTAAAACTCTTGGATTAGATCATTAAGATTCAATTGGATCGATTTCTTCACAAACTGTCACCCTCCTTCGAAGAGACAACAGTTGCAGATGGAGTAAGAAATGATAATCGTTGATAGCATATTGAAGATGAACGAAAATTTAAATATTGTAAATAAGTGAATACAGTAAAGATACCTGTAAATATAATTGCATTTCTATCTTCTATTAAATTTTGTCATCTATTTGTATTAACGCTAATAACAAGTAATAATATTTTATTAGATTTTATATTGTGGATTAAATCTAAGTATGTATACTTTATTCATGTTTTAATCACGGTACAATTTATACATATGTGATTTTCTTCTTTACACTTACTTAATCGATTATATTGCATTGGTATAATTGTTGTATTGTATAAAAATCATTAATTTTTATCAACTATTTTATTTTACATTTTCTTTTTCAAAAATTTGTTTCATTGGAAATAATATCTTTGATGAGTTTTCTTCTCATCTATACTGATCAATAATTATGCAGAAAATCAAGGCGAAATAAAATAACATCGTGATTTGTTCATTTCAAGTGATTTCTAGCACTAGAAATCAGTTTATGGCCCCATGGATGTAGAGTTGCGATTCCTCTATCAATACTTAAATGTTCTGTATTATGCAAATAATTTTATTAAACAAAATAAATTTATTTCACAGATTACCTGTTTTTACACATGATCGTATTGATTTTTTTTCTAGACATTGATTCCTCACAACAATATACAACAGATAAAACACTTTTATTCTCTTTTACTTTGAATATAGTAATAATCTATTTTTGCAAAAGGAAAATAATCTTGGAAAGATTTTGAATCTTCCACTTTTTCGAATAAATCTAATTTATTTATTTTAGCACAATTAATTCGTGTATCATCTCTCGTAAAGTTGTTATGTGTTACTCTTTGTAATGATTCATAATCAATATCAAGAAGAATATTATTTTGTAAATATATTTTCGTATTTAATAGAAATTCTTCGATATAATCATCATAAACTTGTACAATTTGAAGTTCAGTACGAGAATAATATTTAACAATTGATAAATTCTGATTATCATTCATTGATCTATAAGATTGTTTCTGATTTTGTGGATGACGATTAATGACAGATAATTTTTCCATAAATGGAAATGATTGAGAGATTTGAATAAAAAATTCATGTTCAAAAGAATGTTCATCATATAATGATACAACACGAGCATAGGAATATAATCCACCTGGAAAATTATTTGTTCTATCTTCGTAATATTGCATTAGAAATGGATATGAATAAATATGACAATGACCTTGTTTATACTCTAGAAAATAATCAACATAAGATATTATTTTAGTATATTGAAAATCACTGAATGTTCGTTGAATATCTTCTTTCGATGGTAAATTTATTTTATTATTAATAAATATAAGCGAACGAATATCACATGGGCTATGGGTGAGTGTGAGTGTGGATGGGTGTGTGTGGAGTGTGTTATTCATTTGATATTCATACCCACACCCACATCCACACCCTACACCCACCCATACCCACACCCACACCACACACCCACCCACACCCTCACCGACACCCACGCCTTGCTGTGGTCGAGGCAAATGTAATATATATGGTTGCAACTGCGCTCGCGGTTGTTGATAAGCTCGAGAAAGACGCGAAATATTCAACGCAAGCACTTCTTTTCCTATTATCTCTGAATAAGAAAGTACAGACGATGACAACAACTACCGGGATGAATTTTTAATAAACGAGTGACGAAAGGATTATATTTTATTTTGTCAACTTTATAGTTTAGTTGAATGATTCTTTCTGTTGCTTTTTCAATATTTATGTTCAATTGAAAATGAATGAACGATTGCCTCACCATATCTTATGTGTTTTATTTCTTGTCAATAGCGAAATAAGAATATACATCATCTAGAAAAACTGCTGACATAGTAGCAAAGTGGCGGCTTGCAATATGTGAGTCTTAATGCTAATAATTACAAATCTGAATGTGGGTCTCTACTTCACGAAAACGCAAATCAACATATAGATATTTATATCCTTGAGTTTTAGAAGTTTCTCATTATATTGATTGAGTTTAATGAAATTACAGATGACAAGGTTGCAAATGAAAATAATAACTGCGATTAATATATTTGAAAAATGAATTGATATAATTACAAGTGAATCGTTCAATGCCTGAATAACATTTGTTTTTCTCATTCATTCTATCAGACTTTCGATAAAAGTAAGACTGATTTTGAATGGAATCCAACATTATACAATTTCATTTAAATATCAAGACACTGTAAATATTTCTTGATTTTATTCACGAAAGTCATAAGAGATTCAAACAACAGTTTCAATATGATCTTATTAGGGTGCGTGTGTGAGTGTGGGTGTGGTAGAAAGAATCATCCACATCCACACCGAACTCACCACACCCACATCCTTTGTAATTCTCGATTTCTTGTTATGCAGTGTAATTATTGCATTTTAATGCTTAACTCTTCATTATCCATCTGATAGGGTAATACTAAAAAAGAAAGATTTTTTAAAATCTCTATAAGTACGGTTTTTCTTTAGTATATTGTACTATACTCAAATTATTTTGTTTATACCTAAGATTAACAAAGATTACTTCTAATGCGTTCAATTATGCAACGAATTTTATGCTATGTATTACTAACTTGTAAATTCATGCTGACATCGACATTTGACTTATTACTGTTCTTCTTATCCTATGAAGAATTGTTTAATGTTTACTTTAGATAAGAGGAAAAAGACAAAATGAAAGTATAGAAAATGTATTACAATGTGCACATTCGCAACCATGTTAGTTATCTTCCTAGGAGTTTTATTCCTTCTACCAACTACTGTAATTACTTCGAAATACTATACAATAAAACAATTACTTAAGTATCTCTTTGAACATTCATGCACAATGCAACTTTGACTTATTTTTTAACATTTCTAAATCAATGTCGACATCTTTTCACACTATAGTAACGTCTCTGTCTTTGAGACTATTCAAAAACAAAAAACTATCCAATATTGCTAATTTCACCTTCAACGTGCTTGATCAGTCTGATCTCTACTATTTTGTTGCTGGTTCCGTTGCAGTAAATCTCGATCTGTATCTTGGATGTGGGTTGGAATGTTCTATTGCCTCACACCCACATCTACACCCGCGATTTGTGGGACAGGAAACGATAGAAAATGACTTCCCAAGGTGTGACTATGAGTATGCTTTTAGGTACGGCGTTTTTATTCTTTACAAGATGTAGTCTTGGTCTTCGAGACATGGATGAATCTTACTCTAATTCAGAGTAAGGATGGGATGTTTTTTTTTAACGGGAGTTAATTAATGAACTTAATTAAATTCCGTTAAAAAAATGTCCCACCTCTAGTCGTAGAGTCAAGATTAAAACTCAACTTTTTTTAACTCATGTTTTCTCAATAAATGTTTGAATATCAGCAAAATGAAATTGCTTCCACTGCCGTCCACAATGTTCTTCACTATCAACAAGACATACTCATTATCATCATTGTATCCAAAATTTCAGAGTTCATATTGATGTATTTAAGAAAGGTCAAGTACAAAATCAATCTAATATCTCCATATTTTTCTATTTAGTTTTTAGAGTCATAAATGCTATTAAAATTAGAAAAATTTTACTATGAAAACTTCTACAAGACATGAAATATATTTTCTTTAGTTTATTCTATACATATATTTATTCATCATATTTATTTCAAAAAGAAATTTTGTACAGCTAAAAACTCTATTTGAAAACATTCAATTCTGACAAAAAATATTTATGTACGATATATCGATTTATTAACAACTTCTTTATTATTCGCTGTTACATTTTTTCTATTTAACGTAGAATCTTTTGATTCTTTGCTAGTTAAATGTATAAGAGGTTCGACATTTTTGAGAAATAATCCTTTTGACTTGAAAACTTGTAACAATGTGCCCTTTTGCTGATGCATCAATCCAATTTTGTAGTAATTCTGGTATCAAAGCCAAAACAAGTGCACACAGCTGATCTGCTGCGATAAATATAGGTCTCCAAACAGATCCCAACATATTGACTGGAAGATTAAAGATACTTTTATTCCACAAAAACCAAATAGAATAAAAAAATAGATAACACCACAAAATAATATAATGGAAATACATAACGTATCTTAGTGTCCGTGACCTTTTTTGGCAGCAACAATAACACAATATTCGTAGGTGATCATCGTCAGAAAACATTATCCATCGAAAGAAATGAACCAACTTTACAACAAAATAACGAAGAGCATAATGCCAAGTAACAAGAGTTGTAACCATTGTGATAAGATTTTTTATTTCAAAATAATAATAAGTACACTTTGGGATGTTCTCCGTATTATTTACTCGACATGGATCTATATTATTTTCACATTGAAGTACTTCATATGGATCGTGAAATTCGAAACAATCATCTATAGATTCATTTCGTCGATCAAATAAAGTATTGATCGCGACAAACATAAGAACATGTACATGAGTAGCAATTATGGGTAAAATTAATCGATTTAGATTAGGAATATGAGAGAAACGTTGATCAAATCGATAACAAGTCATTAATTGTCCGCGAAAATAAACTTCATTCGATTCAAACTTTCCATCAGAATAAGCTTCATTCATATAAGTTAATACACGATCAATATGCTTATTCTTCCAAAATGTTTGCATTATATTCAATAGAAGTACAATTCCATATATAGCAAGGATAATTTTCTCGCTAACTGATTCGATTGTTTGAATAGTTGAATAAAAGATGTATGATTCTAGATCAGCACTAAAATTTGATTTTGATACGAAAACGCCTATTGATGACACAAGAACTAATCCGACTTTTTGTTTTTAAATAATAAACGACTTAAACATCAATATGTATGAGTATAACATTTGATATCTTTGTTATATATAAATTCTCAAATTATCTATATATAAATTGTATATACAAGAGACTTTTTCATATTAGTCAGGGCTACTTTATAACTCATAGTAATATAAAACATTCGATATATCAAGTCAATTACTACGAAAAACTGGTCATCATCCTCTAATCCTCGTATTGCGTTTCAAAGCACATCTATTTCAAACTTTACTTATATTAAGAAAAATAAGTAGACATTCAATGATAAATATCTTCGATTACTTTACTTATTCAATTATTCTCTGCTTATTCTTGACAACCGACAAAATCATGAATACATTCATGTTTACAATCTTAACCAAAAACATAAAATCATTTTGTGTCAATCAAATAAATGTAAATAAAGACTAATTGAAGTATCATATTTTTTCTGAAAAAAATATGAATAAAAATAGAACATTTTCTAAACATGTAATAATTGGCAGAAGTAGATTATTGAATGTAAAATATGTCATAATTCAAGGTTTTTTTGCAAATATAACTTTATGACTAGTTAATTGAAAAAACTAATAAGTTTCATAAAATCAATTATATTTTATAATGATGTTTGAAATATCATTTATTGCCCGATAACATGAATCAAGCTCAATCGTTGAGAAGATACCATGATATATTTTATGATGAATTAAGCAATGTCATAAGAATGCATCAAAAGATTACAGAACATGAAGATCTTTCATTATTGATTTTATTCAATCGAAAATAAAAAAAACAAACAGCATTAAGATAGAGGTCAATTTTATTCGATTCTCTCTCATAAAATCTGACCGAATTCATAGACTAATTCAAAATTCTTACTTCTCTGCTATTGCTACCTAATACAAATAGATAAATCCACTTATTTCTGATATAAGTACATGAAATATAATGATGAAGAAAGGCATCTTTCACATCAGATGATATTCATAGGTTTAAATTTTACTTATATATTTTTAGATATGCTTTGATTTTGATATTTCATATTAAAGAAATTTTTTGTAGTATAGTATCATCAATATCTTATAGAATAAAATGAAAAAGAAATTCATTAATGTAAACTAAATCTTAGCAGTGCCTCATAATCTTGATGAATTACAAATACTTTTTAAAGTTTATTTAAGATTTAGTATTTGATTAACGCGTTTTTTTTGCTAATAAAGTGGCATATATAATGAAACAATCAATAAAAAATTGAAATTTTTATCAGTACAGTAGATTTCCCTAATTCTGTCGGAAAAAAATTACCATTTTTTGTTTGAATTAGTGTGAAACTATTATACATCCGATCAAAAATATTTTTATATCTAGGTAATCTCTAGATTCTTCTCTTTCAAATAATATAGTGTTCGTCTTTCATTTTTCATATTTTCATACAGAAATTAGCAATCGACGAAAAATGCTTGCACTCGACAGAGTTAGGAGATCGTTCCCTAATTCTGTCGGCCAGCAAAAAAATTTTTCCTAATTCTGACGCCTCTAACAAATTACATAGAAAAATTCAATTTCAGAAAAAAAACTATTTTTCTCAATTTTTTTATGAGAAATGGAAGAGAGGCATCTGAGACATTTTTGTAGAGTGAATCAAGCTCTGTCATAGTCTAAAGGTTCAAAACGATTGTATGTTCTATTATCAAGATACAGATGTTGAAGTGAAGATACCTGAAGGTAATGGAAAAAAAGCTGCCCCTAATTCTGTCGCCCAGCTATTTTAGGTCCCTAATTCTGACGATCCAGCTAATTTTTGTCCTCAATTCTGACGGTAGTCATATATGTTCCCTAATTCTGATGGTAACTGTTTTCATCTCTAGTCATGACTTTTCAGTTATTTTTTATCTCTAATTCTAACGATAGTTATGTTTGGTCTCTAATTAGGACGATAACTGTTTTCACCCTTGGTTATGACTTTTCAGTCATTTTTTTGTCCCTAATTACGATGATAACTTTTGTTTTCGTTTTAGATTATAAGAAGTAAGTATTCCAATGACGATTCTTCAGTAAAATATTAGTATACGAGGTCTTATTTGAAAAAACCGTGTTTATATATGATCACTGTAGATGGGTGTTATCAGCAATAGGATATTTCAGTTGGCTTTCTTTCTGTTATGATTTTAAAAACTTAACCATATTCGATCAAAATTATTATGCTTAACAGAACAATGCTAAGTTTAAAATATTAGGTACGCATTATTATCTTAGATGAAATTATCGAGTCTTTTAGAACCGGTAGGACATAATCTTAGGGACTAAATAATTTTATATAAGATAGCTATAAACAGCGAATATCTTAACTTAATAATTTTGCGGTGAGGATAACTATTAGGCCCAAATTCAATCAGGCTTTTGAAGGTCTTCCCTCCACAATCATATTTTTGAAGCAAATATCCAAATTGTATGTGTCTTGTAAGAAGGGTGTGAGTGTAAGTGTAGCTCATTTCTTCACTCACATTCACCCCACATCCCGAAAGCATAGGATTTCAATATTTATTTATTTATTTATTTATATGTATATATCTATAAGTAAGTTTCGTCAAAGATATAGTTGATAGTTAAACTGTGATTATTTTCGGTTTGAGCACATCGGAGTTATATTTTGAGTAGTTGCAAGACGGATTTTTGTTTTAATTATTTTCCAAAGTTCTGCTATAAATGCTACGTATACAAAAGGTATGCATAGAGGTTCTATAAGAGCTATAAAGGCGAACATATTTATTACTGGTTTCGATATAAACTTGAAACCAACAAAACCCAAGAAACTGGCGGTACTGTACGGTAAGATGACTACCATACTGAGAAGTGATATAGAAAGAAGTTGATAAGCCATTTTACTGTGCTTTTTCCAACTAAATGCTCGTTGAAGACGACGTTTTGAGTACATCACACGAGCCAAAAGTGCCACACTAAATAGAGTAGTAAATATTGAAGGAAACATATAATTAACGAGTCTGATCCACAACATCATAAATGCATTGTTTGTATGACAGGCACTATTGCAGTAGTTCACCTGAAATAGAAATGGGTTTTTGCACGTATAAAAAGCAAAGGCATAGATATAGAAACATATGACGTATGTAATAATAATAAAAGGTGGTACATAATGCAAACATATATTTCTCCACTTAGAACGAAGAAGGCGATCATGAAAAATCAGAATATGCCGTTCAAATGAAGCCCATGCCAGTAAAAGCAAGTTGATCGTCCAAGTACAATAAGAGATAAATTGCCATATATAGCAATAGGCACCACTCTCAAAAAATACTCGGCCTCTTCGATAAAAATACATCTGCGACGGAATATCCAACATGTTACAAAAAAACTGGAGAATTAAGATAATGAGAAGGCAATAATTATTAGGTGCTGAACGATGAGTTTTGTGAGTGAGCATGTAGATGAGGATGAAAACATAACAAATGAACGATGGCACTTGAAGTGCAAGTAAAATATTGAATCTTATCGACTCATTAATGAGTAAAATAGAAGTATTTTGTTGAGTGTAATTCCCGTCGGGGATAGTTTGTTTTGGATCCAGTTGCATTTTGAGTGTTCACTCGTAATAACTTTGTATGTAAAGACCACTATCTTATTTTAATAAACTCACCGTTTTGTTTGATAAATCTTATTAGTTTGTTGTTGCAGCTTTCCTCTCACATATAGCAACATTATACAGAAGTATCTCAAGACGACTGTCATCTCTAAGAAAGTGACGAAGCAGAAAGCATTGATGCCGTTTGTGTGACAACTCATATATTTTGTAAAGTTCAGTCGAGCATTGAGCCTGCTATCATCTTAATGCATGCAAGAAGGAGATTTTGAGAGTCAACTAAGTGAATTCGTGCGATATTAATTACATTTGGCATCTATGTTGAAATATTAAAAAAACAAATCCATGATATTTCATATCAACTGAGACATGCATTTTAAGAATTTTGCTACTCAAAACAAGTAAAACTATGCCAAATCCCTGGGACAAACCTATGAATAGTTCAGAAAAGTATATCAATCTAGTGCATCATAATCATGAATACATTCTTGATCTTCAAAGACTTTTAAAATCTTCGGTGTTTTTTCACAACACAGGCTTTTATAATCTAATAGAGGTTCACACAGGTCCAGTTTTCTAAGACCTATTCTGTCAATGACAGTCTATGAACTTCTTCAGCTTGCCTATACCTGTCTTTAATGTTCGTTGCACTGAGCTGCATGTTGACGCTGGTAGAAGTTTTTGTTTTGCATACTAATGTTAGTAAAATAATTGGCTGGAAAAAGAAAACTGTCTTTATAAGAAAACAAAGAAGTTATGACTATCAAAATAACATAATTACTCGAGAGATCTAATGGTTTAGTGCGGTATGTAATTGTTGAGTAAAGACATCAACAACGACATTCACATTTAGAAAGATACTACTATTGAGTAAAAGTTTTCTCAATGAATTTGATGAACTATTTAAAAAGGATATATAACCTCCAACTGTAATACGATAGTATAAATACGAATTAGTAACATAAGACTTCGTAAATACTCCAGAGAAAACTTAAATAGCAATTAACTAAAAGGGGATGTGGATGTGGGTGAAGGGTACACTCCAAAAAAAAAGGGTATTTTACAGAATCTAAAAAGGATCTTATTCTCGGTACACGGTAAGATCCTTTTTTGGTTTCGTAAAAAATGGGGTTTCGTACCGCACTATCTCGGGACAACTGAAAAACATGTTGTGTACCAAAGATTTTGAGTAAAACCATTAGTGGAAAACTGGAACAAAGGTTTCTCATCACAGGT